GACGGCGCATGATCTATATCTGGTTACAGACTTCAAAAGCGGAGGGGAGTTGTTCTGGCACCTACAGAGAGAAACCAGGTTTTCGGAAGAACGCGCGAGATTTTATGTTGCGGAGTTGATTTTGGCACTAGAACACTTACACAAATACGACATCGTGTATCGAGACTTGAAGCCTGAGAACATCCTTCTCGATGCAACAGGACATGTCGCACTTTGCGACTTTGGCTTATCGAAAGCCAATTTACGCGCGGACGAGTTGACGACGACATTTTGTGGCACTACGGAGTATCTGGCGCCTGAGATACTGTTAGACGAACACGGATATTCGAAGATAGTCGATTTTTGGAGCTTGGGGGTGCTCTTATTTGAGATGTGTTGTGGATGGAGCCCATTCTACGCCGAGGACACACAACAGATGTACAAGAACATCTGCTTCGGGAAGATTAGGTTTCCAAAGGGTGTCATAAATGAGGACGGAAAACAGTTTGTCAAGGAAGTAAGTAATTCGTACTCTTTTTTTCTTTCGAAAGTGTATAACTCACCAATGATTGTTGGTTCAGCTCCTAAATAGGAATCCCAAGAAGCGTCTAGGTGCCAATCGCGATGCCGCAGAGCTCAAAGAGCACCCATTTTTTAAATCGATTGACTTCAGCCTTCTTGCGCAAAAGAAGGTCACTCCTCCTTTCAAGCCCGTCGTTGAGTCAGACGAATCTACATCAAACTTCGATCCCGAGTTTACGGAGAAAAGCATAACCGACGTCGGTCTCAACGAGGATGATTATGCTGATTTTGCTGAGGACGATCCTTCCGAAAGCTGGGTATCCCAAAGCTTGGGGACAAGTAGCCTCCCTGGAGGTCATATGCACAATGGGCCTCTAGGAAGTGAGAAAACAGGGAAGACACCGCCCATGACACCTATTTCACCTATGACAACGATGACATTGCCGAATGGCACTGCGCACACTACACACAAGACGGCAAAACACAAATCCTCCAGGGGTGGAGGCGGATTATCGCGGAACGGGAGTGGCGCTTCGACGAAGTCGAATCGATCGTCAAAATCATCACTCAACCGTGCCGTGAATGGGATCGATATTCATTCCGCGGGACGACAGGCTAAGAAACGCCAACCTGCGGGTACACCCTTGACCAATAGCGTGCAGGAGAACTTTCGTGGGTTCACATATAGTGGCGGAGAGTCGGTGTCAGCGCATGCGGATGCCTTCGCATCGCGGAAGATCGAAGATGATGATGATGACGAGGATTACGTGGACGTTGATGATGAAGTTGGAGGTGGAACAGAAGACGAATTTGAAGATTTCGGGAAGAGTGCAGGGAGGTATGCCAATATGAGAAAAAAGGGCATGGGATTCACGGATTTGGATGACATGAGTTAAGACTCGTTTGTCTGTGTGTGCATTGAAGTCGAATGTAGACGGAATGGGGCAGTATCCTAAACCGGGATGCGTTAATTGGGTCTTGCTAATGACTCTTGGGTTTAAATCTAATGGTAAATCGTCTCATCCAAGGCGTGTTGTGAACCGCTGGAGAGGTTGTAGGGTTGCTTTTCAAACTTTGCTTTTGATCCTGGCATACTCCCTCTGGAACCTGCACGCTGAAGTTCCATTTGTGTTTGTCTTTTCCCTTTCAAGTGTTCTATGCTACCGGACCTTGCTTCTTTGAATGTTCTGTATTGTGATCATCATTCACTACCAGACTACTAACTACTTCCAACCTGAACAACCTTCTCAACTGTATATACAAGTATAACATTTACATATTTATCTTCACATAACGTTACAAGTTGTAATACCAGTTTCAATCTGCAGAAGTGAACAGACTCAGTATTATGAGTAATCGTCAATACACAATAATCCGAACACCACTATGTAGCATGAAAGCTCAAGCCTAAAGTACTTCGTTGTTTGAATAGCAGCAAGAGAACACAATTATTTTCCTGGTGATCTCGACCGACTGTCTCTGATATCATCTCGGCTGCCTTTACTCCGGCTCCTACTTCGACTATAAGACGAATACGACATTGACCTGGACTTTGACCGCGATCTTGTCCTGGACCTTGAACGAGAGTATGACCGGGATCTGCTGGAGCGCATAGAATAGTAACTCCTCGACCTGCTCCTGCTCCTCGAGCGGGAACGAGAGACTGACCGACCCCTGCGGCCATATCCACCTCTTGAATAGCTTGGAGACCTCCTCCTTGGACCTAGCCCACCCTTCCTTATCGGCGAGCGAGAACGAGACACTCCACCCATACGCCCTCGACGCGGCGGAGGTCCACCACGTCCACGACGACCATACCCTCTTCCTCTGTAACCTGGACCGTCATCCTTGCGGCGGTATCTATTTGGAGGTGACCTGGAGCGAGAAGAAGTTGGTGAGCGGGAGTATGACCTATTTCTGGCTCTGTCACGCCCATTGCGACGAGGGGGAGCCCTCGGTGAACGAGACCTGGATGAACGAGAACGAGAGCGGGAACGGACAGGAAGATCAGATAGCTCGATTTTGAGAGTTGCTCCGTCAAGCTGGCCACCGTTCATATGGGAAGCAGCGACATGTGCTTCAGAGGGCTGGGAGAATTCGAGCGCTGCTTTGCCTCGATTTTGACCAGCTGCAAGTAAGTAAACATAGTTAGTATCGGGGGGCAGTGTGGAAAAGGATAAAGGGTTCACATTTGGTATAGAGTGGAAGATCAAGTTTCACGATTTGCCCGTAAAATCCAAATACAGTCCGAAGATGCGTTTCAACAATATTTCGCGTTAAATTGTTGATTATAATGACCTTGGCGTCTGGAAGATCATTCTCCTTGCCAATTTCCATGTCAATATCGGCATTGGAGTTCTGCAATGGACGAGGAGAAGTGGAACGACCTCTTTCGGACATGATACCACTATGAGATGGTGGAAGAAAAACAACTAAATTTCAAGTTGTCACAAACCTGTAACTTTTGCTTTTGTCACAAGGTGTCACGAGCGTTGGACGTAGCTCTTCCTTGAATAATTTCCAGCCGCAGTTGCAATATGTATACATTATTTTATGTAAACACACCATTGACTCTTGACAAAGCCCATGGACTACCAGCAGTGTAAAAGTCCATGGGATAGTGTATACCATCGATTTCCTTATTATTCGATCCTTCCAACGCCTTAGCTTCTACGTCAGAATCAAACCACTCCGTATTCTTTCCTGTACCCATCACTACGGCGCATTCATACGGGCTGAGTAACGGGCGTTCAAACGCGTATCCCCAATCGATGGAAAGTCGAGGGCAGGAAGTTTGAATAAAAGTGGATATTCGAGGATGGATCGTAGCTGGTGTTTTGAAGACTTCGTCTGATCTTTCAGGAGTAGACGAAGGTTGACCAGCGTTGAAGAGTGCCAACTTCGCAGGGGAAAGTTCGGAGAGAAGAATGGGCATATAAGGGATAGGTGTAAGGGACTCTCGCAATTGGTTTGTTATCGCCTGTTGATTAATTCGTATCAACAGCACGCAATGAACGGATGAGTCGAGTAAAATGCACCTGTAGTTGTCTAAAACTTCCTTGTCTTCCAAGGGTACCAAGGATCACACCCCAAAGAGGCGTATCATCTTCAGTGGAAGGGAAATCCATTGTTGTCACTGCCGACGTCTGTCTCCGCGATCTAGCAGTCTCGACCCACCCAATACTTTTCCTTGCCCCCTCAATTGCATCTCTCCTCACTGATCTCATCTCTTTGTGACCGTACCGCTCACGAGTGAGCTTTTTGGAATAAGGATCATATCTGAACGCTGGTACGAACGGATTCGCGATCATGATAGCTTCAAGGTGGAAGCGACCGTCACCGAGATAGCTGATAGAGGTTTCATGTATATTCAAATAGACAAAACGATGGCTTACACAATTGCATCAACCTCTCCGCTTAACTTTGGTGCTGTGCATCCGAGAACTTCACCGGGAGACAAAGGTTTGGATCGAGGGATAGTTGGATCGTAGACAGAAGTCCATAACGGAGTAGTAGAAGTCGAAGAAGGAATGTACGGGACACTCAGATCTTCCTTCAGGCGTTGCAAGGCAGCGACAAACTGGATGGTCGAAACTAACGCCAGCCTTGTCGGATTTAGATCCTCCACAGAAGGTACCACAGCTGCTTCTCCATCTCTTTCCTCTCCGGACTCAGGCGGAGGAGCTTCTATTCTCAGACCCGGACCAGCAATAGGTATCCTTTGCCCGGCTTTAATTTCTTGTTCACCTCCTTCTCTCATCCCGAATGACATCAAGGCATCGCGGAACGCATCACGATTACTGGGTAGATTGGCGCGGATTGTCTGATGTAGATGTATTGAATCAATTCCAATCTCGACAAAAACATACAATGTCTTGACATCCTGCGTAAAATTTGAGGGAACAAGGCAAGAGTGTCCATAGTGCACCAACATATCGCAGCCGAGAGCAAGTGCAGTGTAATCATCCACACAGCAAGCACCGTAAGTCACATCTCCCATTATCGTTGTCAATGCTGGTGTAAATCTACGTAAGCACTGGTCATTAACTTCGATGTTGAATGTGGGAGAGAAATATCTTACCTACCTCTCAATGATATCAGCGATCGCACACGCAAACATCTGCAATCCTTCAGGCATCTGTAAAGCTACCATCTTGCTCCCATTTTTCCGTACATGATGGATCGTTTTGTGAATCTCGAAGCTATAGTTTCTTGGAAGGACCTGCTCGATGATGGCGTTTAGGTCGGGGTCTTCAACGATCTCAGCTGGGATTTGATTTCGCAGAACAAAGTTAGAAGGATCAGAGGCGGAGGAAGGTTTGGAAATCTTTGAGCCAATGAAGCGACGGCGAGGCTTGCTAGCATCTTTCTTAGAATTGAGATTGGGAATGGATTGTTCGGAGGACATCACGGGAAGGGGGTGAGATATATTTCAAGTGTACATTTTACAGAGATAAGTTGAAAAAATGTATAATTTCATGTAGCTCATGAATATTCCATCCGATATGGTGTAGTGGCTAACATTATCGCCTCTCATGTTGATGAACGCGATAGCCCGGGGTTCGATTCCCCGTGTCGGAATTAAATTTGTTTTTGTGAAGAGGTAAACGGTGGTTTTTAGCGCTATTGGACAAGAAAAGTATCCCGAAAACGAGGTTCAAGTTTCCTTGACCTTGTAAGCAAATCAGTTAGATTCAGGGCCAAACCAACTCTCCAAGCAGAGAGAGTGATGGATAGGTGTCTGTCCGAAGAAAACTAAAGAAGCGTTATCATCTGCCGTTCGATTTGGTTTGAGAACTTCGTATGACGGACATAAACTGTTTCCATGCACCTCAATTCCGAACAAACATGAGATCGGCTATCGAAGGGTCGAGATATCGCAACGAGAACACACCGGGAACATCTTCAGCAAGGACACTTGCAATTCCTGTAAAATAGTAAGTCAATGGAGATGTGGGAGGTTCCTGTAATTGTACTGACAACAAGGAAAATCCACCGGGGCTGATAGCGTTAAGATGCCCGAAGAAGAGTTAATCAAATGAGACAAAGAGTTCACGTAGGATAAGTGATAAAATGGGTTTGGTAGACCACTGTGACGATAGTAGTTGATTGAATTCCCTTAACGGCGAGGGTATCGACCCGTTAGGAGGACGAGGTAATGGCGTGCAATGAGCACGGAAATTTGCCCAAGACCATTTCTTAAACTTTCAATACTCGATCAATGGATTGTACTGTGTAACACGCAAGTTATTATCCAGAGCTGATATCTTTACCCAATGACTAATTCGCAGAGTTCTAGAGGAAACGCGAAGAATTGGGGTGCAAATCGTTCACTGAGCGCTAACAATGAGTTACACGCTTCACGTGGCCGCTTTTTTGGGCGCTTTAGCTTCAAGAAGAGTTGTAACCTGCTCATTATGTCGGACCCTCCTCAACGATGTGGGATGCGGGATACTTGCGGAAGCAAGACTCTTTTTGGGAAACAGCTTCCATGTCCTTATGATGGTCCTCCAAAGGAGGTTAGTCACACGTCATTTCACCAATGTGCCCGTTTAATTACTTTCTCTCAGCCCTCTAGCTCAACCCGAAAGCTTCTTCTGGACGTTTGTGGGCCAGAATTTTATACTGGGCCAGTATGCTGTACCTTTGATCAGCTTCAGACCTTAGAGGACAACTTCCGGATTGTGGACAAAATCGTCTCATCTTGTCCAGCTTGCAAGAATAACTTTCATGACTTCTTCTGCAAGTTTACCTGCTCACCCAATCAAGGCACATTTCTCAACGTTACATCTACACAGACGACGAACAGCAACCAGATCGCAGTGAAATCCGTGGACTTCTTTGTTGGACCTCAATTCAGTCAGGGTTTCTTCGAGAGTTGTAGAGACGTCAAGTTTGATGCCAGCAATGGATATGCGATGGATTTTATTGGTGGAGGTGCCAAGGACTATCAGGGGTTCTTCCGGTTTTTAGGAGAGGAAAAAGACCTGGGAAGCCCGTTCCAGATCAACTTTCCATCCATTTCGACCACACCGTTTTCGCCGCTCAATCCTCCACCGAGGAATTGCAGCAACAATGACTTGGACTCACGGTGTACATGTATCGACTGTCCGTCTATTTGTCCAGTCCTCCCAGATCTTCCGACCACAGAATCAATATGTCACGTCGGCGTGCTGTCTTGTTTATCCTTCACCCTCATCCTCACCTACTCACTTGCCGTAGTGGGTTTCATCGTTGGTTTCCTTATCCAAAACACCATCCGCAAACGTCGAGAACGTCGCTATGAGCGCCTAGCCCTATCAGGTGAAACTCCATCCTCACCGCGCGCGCTCGTGGGTGCCGCATCACTAGACGACCATAACGCCAGTCTCGCTCGAGGTCTGATTGACCCAGTAGAAACAGTTCAACCCAAGCAATACAGGCTCAATTCTCTCCTTCGAAAATCCTTTTACAAACTCGGACTCACCACTGCCACATATCCTATGCTCACCTGTGCTGTCGTCTTCACAATCATTGGCCTCATAAACATCGGCTGGACGAAATTCGACATAGAAACAGATCCTGTTCGGCTTTGGGTAGCGCCAAACTCAGAAACGCGAGTCCAGAAGAATTTCTTCGATGAACATTTCAGGCCATTCTATCGTCCCCAACAAATTTTCATTACTTCAGTTGACCAGGAGAACCATCCTGTTTTGTCATTCATGCATCTACAGTACGTATTCAAACTCGAGGAACACATCCGGCAAAACCTTGTTTCTACACCCAATAACCTCACGCTCGATGACGTGTGCTTTGCTCCAGCGGGTCCAGGTTCGCCTTGTGTCGTGCAGAGTGTTACAGGATGGTTTGGTGGTAGCTTGGACGGGTATGATGAGGTCACGTACAAAGATAGGATAGAGAGGTGTGCGCGAAGCCCGGTAGAGTGTTTGCCGGACTTTGGTCAACCCTTGGCGCCACACTATGTTTTGGGTGGCACTCGCGACTCGAAACTCAACACTTATCTCGATGCTCCTGCTTTGGTGATCACCGCCGTCTTGTCTTCGTCTGTAAGTCCACCCGATCCAGAACAGCAACAGGTATTCGAACGCGCTGCTGAGGAATGGGAACGAACTTTGCGTGCCTTTCTTGAGGGTGTGAAGGAACGATCACCGGCAGAGGTTGGGTTGAATGTAGATTTTAGCACTGGTGTCAGTTTGGAAGAAGAAATTGGGAAAGAAGGAAACACAGACGTCAGAATCGTGGTGGGGAGTTATATAGCCATGTTTCTGTACGTGGGGCTCACATTAGGTGGAGGCGGAAGCGGTTCAGGTGGTTCTTCGCGTGCTGCTCGAAACGGTAGCAAGGGATGGAAGCTACACTGGCGCGCGGCGATGTCGTGGATACGAAATTACACCCTGACATCGCACACACTTTTAGCTCTGTTCTCGCTTGTTTTGGTCCTCCTATCCATCAGCACGTCTGTTGCACTATTTTCCCTCATTGGCGTCAAAGTCACCTTGGTAATTGCAGAGGTCATACCGTTCTTAGTCCTTGCAGTGGGAGTGGACAATGTTTTCCTATTGATGGGAGAACTTGAACGAGTGGATGCAATACATGGGTTATATGCTGGCAACAACAATAGTTTGAATGGACATAGAGGTCGAGGCGATGAAAGGACTGCTGCTGAAGATCATGGTATCGCCGATAATGTGGACAGTGAAGCGAGGATGATGTCTCCCACACGAACGACCCGTTCTACACGACATTTCCCTTATCCTGCCCGACATAACCATCAAACTTCTTCGCTTTCATCATATTCATCCGCCCCCTCTTCGGCATATCCAAATCCTTCGTATCTTCCTCCACCTGCTCGTATCGCATTGACTCTTTCGCTCATCGGGCCCTCAATTTTGCTTTCTACGCTTGCCGAAGCAGTGGCGTTTCTTCTCGGTGCACTGGTGCCGATGCCCGCCGTGCGGAACTTTGCGCTGTACGCAGCTGCAGGAGTCGTAATCAACGGACTTCTCCAGGTATGCCTATTGGCCGGTGTTGGGATAGGCTTGGATGCAAGGAGAATTGAAGCAGGCAGAATGGATTGCATACCCTGCATAAGTCTTCCTGGACAAATAGCTCTTCCTGAGGATGAAAACGACAGAAATACCCTGGACGAACAGCCAATCTCTCCTGATAGGTCTCATTTCCACAATGACCACGATCCAGCAAGAGTAACTGGTACAGGATCGTCAGGTTGGCTAGGGAGGTTCTTCAAAAGATATTATGTACCATTTTTGCTCAAACCTGCAGTCAAGGTCGTCGTCATGATTGTATTTGGAGGCATATTTGTTGCGGGTATCATAGGGATGCAAGGTATTGAGTTAGGGTTAGGTGGGCTACATTCATTCTTCCTCGTATCTCATTCAACTATCTTATATTAGATTAGATCAACGGCTAGCGCTGCCCGCTTCGTCTTATCTTGTGTCCTATTTTGACAAAATGGATCAATATTTCGACGTCGGCCCGCCAGTGTACTTTGTCGTGCGCGACGTGGATGTCACACAGAGAGAAGTTCAACAGAAGTTGTGTGGACGGTTCACAACCTGTGAAAAAATGAGCCTGAGTAATATACTGGAGGCGGAACGTACTAGAGATCGAAACGAAGCGTTGTCAACACTTTCCTCTCAACTTCAGTCGCATCCACTATTCATCGATCCAGATGAACTATCCTTACTATCTACTCGGTCTTCTTCTTACCTTGCGGACCCTGCTGCTTCTTGGATCGATACATTCTTTGCCTGGTTAGACCCCGAAATGGATACATGTTGTCGAGTGCGGAAGCGGAATCCCTCTATACCATGTCGGCCGCGTGATGGTGCACGTCTTTGCAGACCGTGCTTCGAGGGCCGGGACCCAGCATGGAATGTCACCATGGAAGGGTTTCCGGAAGGCGAAGAATTTATACAGTATGCAAAATGGTGGCTTACGAGCGAGGCCGGGGAGGAATGTCCGCTTGGAGGAAGGGAAGGGTTTAGCGGTAGTGTGGCATTTGGAACAGGATCGGATGGGGATGAGATCGTTGCCTCTCATTTCCGTACGTTCCATACCCCACTCAGATCACAATCTGAGTTCATCGCATCTTTGGCATCTGCACGGCGTATCGCTGAATCAATAACCGAATCCACGGGTGTAGAAGTGTTCCCTTACTCTCCGCACTATGTCTTCTTCGATCAGTATCTTACTATTACCTCCACCACCCAGATGATACTCGGCCTGGGCCTCCTTTCAACCCTCCTCATAACGTCGATATTCCTCGGCTCCTTACGATCGGGCGGGATTGTCACAGCGGTGACGGGCATGGTGGTAGTGTGTGTCATGGGTATGATGAGGTTAGAAGGCGTGAGTCTGAATGCGATTAGTCTGGTGAATCTCGTGATGGCGGAAGGCATTGCGGTTGAATTTTGCGTGCATGTGGCGAGAGCTTTCATGAGTGCTGGATCTGGATCTGGATACGGCGCAAGTGCAGGCAGTGTTTGGGGCTTTGGCGTGGCAGATCGGGCGAAAGGTCAGAAGGAAAGAGACGAGAGGATGTATATAGGCCTCACGAG